AATATTTCAAATTTATTTATTAATATTTAGAAAATTTATTTTTAAATTACATTTTCTTCTTCTTTTGTATTTATATATTTCATGGAACATAAGATATAATAGTATTTTTTTAATTCAGTTATATTGTACGAGATTTTTCAATAATTATTTCTCATATTTTAATAAGATGTTTAAACATATACACATACACACATACACACGCATATGTTTAACAAACAAAGGTTACATAACAGTATTCTGTTTCTTAAACTTGTTCATTTCTCAATTCTTATCGTTAATCGGATTCAACAATTTATTTATCGAGAAAAGTTATACAATTATTCTTTTCCATACTTTTCGTGAAAACTTCTTCCCTCTTCACTATCCACTTCCCTAGTTTCCCTACGTAAAGCAAGTCCATATCTTTTGTCAGTTTCAATATTATTTTTTATATCTCTATTTTTCTACGTTTAAAATTAAATTAAAAGAAGAGTTCTGTTCAATAAATTTCTCCTTTGCCGGACACGCAACTGTCGTCTTACATCAAAAACGTGCTATATCTATGATATAAATTCTATATGAATTCTTTCTCTCGGCGAGAAAAGACTCCGGGTAAGAGTCCGATACACACAGTCGACCGTATTAAAATTTAACATGTGCTCGACAACACGTCATTGTATGACATTACTAATGCAACTCATGTAATGAAATATTAGAAATTTTACTATTCCGAGAAAAAGAAGAGAGAGAGAGAGAGCAAGAGAAAGAAGGAGGGACAAACTCATACATTATTGAAAAGACGAAGAAGATTTCGCAACAACTAAAATAAAGACAAGAATAAAGTCGACAATTACCTTAGGATAACATGAAGACATGGACATTCTACCGATAAACTTTAAAGCTCTGCGTTTTTGCGGTGCATGGAAAGAACGGGAGGACGACAATATATGCATCGGGTTTTTACGTATTTTTTATAAGTACGTTAAACGTACTATTTATATACTAAAATATACCATACGGCAAAGATAATGTGTAATACACAAAGAGTTTCATCACGTCAGCCTCTCCTACGTCGGTCTATGAATTTTATCATCATTTCTACGAGTCTTTTTCTTCGAAAATTATATTCATCGATTATTTAAAATGAATATTTGCAGATATGCGGTTTTTCTCTTGATATATGAGTTCACCATATTCGATGTAGTAGAAGTGATTCGCACACGTGATCGCATCCATGAACTGACCGAGGGGCTCTTCTTGGGGTTGACGTTCGTAACGTTGTGCGTGAAATATGCAAATTTCTTGCTGCGGGAAAATGAGATGACGGATTTGTTGGATTCCCTGCGTGTAAAAATGTGTCAACCGAGAAATTCGATGGAAAAGCTGATAATGGAGGAGCACAGTCGCAAAGGTATCCATGTAATGTGTGATATACGTGTTGTTTGACGTGAATGTTATGTATCACCAAATATAAATATGTATATCAAAGATCATTAATAATCAAAACGATCGAGAATAATTGTAAATAATTACCTGTCCAAATATCACTTCTTGTTAATAGCATATGTTAACAGCTGTTATCGAATGCATTCTGCAACTCGATAAATATTTGTACATTTCTCCGAATATTCAACTGATTAGTTATGCTTAATTATGTTAATAATTATTAACATAATTAATTAAACGTTATGTAACTTCGACAACGTAATGGATGTAATGAACCGTAACGAATGTAAAGATCTGTTAAAATATTTATACTTTAAAACCCTGACCATCACAATTTCATTATTCAACGTACAAAAATAGAAAAATATACGCTGTCAAAATTGATAACAATGAAACCTTCAAATTTTTGAAATATTAAAAACTAATATTAATTAAGATTATAATTATGTGTGTCAATTGTATCTCCTAATTTTTTCCTAATTATATCTTTATAAAAGAAGGATATTCAATAATAATGAAGTGTCTATTAATATTAATTGATGTTTACGGGGACAGTGCTTATAAATTAAATCAAATGTTTATGACAGCCAAGTGGAGTACTATCTTGTTCATGGCAATATCGTTTGCGACCGGGCTGGGTATGATGGTCACGCCAGCTTTGGAATTGCTCATGGGGGGTGAGCGTACGCTGCCATTGAAGTCGTACATCCCGTACTCCTTGTCGAGCCTACTTCCATATCTAGCTACATATCTGCAACACTTTTTGACTTTGTTCTATGCGATAACGCTTAACGTTAGCTTCGACTGTCTCGTTTATGGCTTCACAATTCAAGTTTGCGCGCAGATCGAACTGATGTGCTACCGACTGACAGACAATTTGAGGAGCACCGGCGACATCTCTTTCGGAAAAAAGCCGCAAACGAACGCCTCGATCGAGGAATGCATCAGGCATCACCTGCTCGTGAGCACTGTAGTAAAGAAGCTACGAGCGTTTTTTATATGGACGGTAATGATCTTCTTCTTCTTTAGTCTGCTCATCGTTTGCACCAGCATTTTTCTAGTATCAAAGGTATCGCAAAGGAGACATTTTTATCTTTGCTATCAATGATACGACGAACGTTTATTTCTTGCAGAAGAAACTGCTTAGTTTTGAATTTCTCTCTATGTTCTTGTATCTCAACGGTATACTGCTCCAATTGTTCTACTACTGCTGGTATGGAAATGAGCTTGAGTTGAAGGTAAATAAGCGCAAGATTTAAGATATTAAAAGAAAATGTTTAAATGTTGAAAAAATAGGAAATTTAAAAAATTTGATGTTTCGAAAAGATACCTCATATTTAAACATTATTCCGCGTTGGAAAATGAATATTTCTGCGTAAAGGAATGTTACATTGATTAATAGTATATGTTTTGCAAATTTTTTCTGCAGAGTAAAGACATCGCAAACGCTATTTATTCCAGTGATTGGACAATGGTGACGCCGCGAGAACGTAAGTCACTGATGCTCATTATGATAAGCAGCCAAAAAGGAATAATGTTCTCCTATCACGGAGTGTTCGCGTTATCTCTTAACACTTTTACCTGGGTAAGCAAGCGAAAGTAAAGAAAACATAAACATTTGCATATCATATTACGCGCATTTGCGTGGCTCACGTTTGAAATCTCAAAATTATTGCGGCAATTACCTGTGCATTCGATTTATTGCAGAAGCTAATTGCGCACATGAATGTAAATTAACGCTTAGACATTTCGCAATGATGCAATATTTTATTTCCGCAGATATGCAGGACTTCTTACTCAGCTTACAATCTCCTGCAGCGAGCATCGAATTAATCAACTATTGAGTATAATGAAAAAAATAACATTTATTTTACTGTGTAGCGTTTATATTTTGTTGTTCAAAACGTAAGATACGGCGCAGTATTTTTTTCCAAAAATGTATCATTACAAGAGAATAGGTTTCTTCACAATAAGCGTAATCCATCGAATGCATATTACGAATATTTCCATGCAGTCATAAAGTACATGATGAGGTAGTAACGATTAGTATATAAAATTCTAATAAGAATTTTATAAGATAAAGTGTAGCCTTTCGTAAAGTAGATACGCAGTTTTGACGGCGCACCGAAAAAGATGGAAGAATGTAAAATCTTAAAACAGATAAAAGTATCTATAAATATTCGGAGAATGTATTCTCGAATAACATGATACCGTTTTATCGTTCCGTCGGCAATATCTTTTTATTTTCGCGCATATCAACAAAGTCAATCGAGAAGATGAGGCACTTTTTGATTCTGTAATTGGTATCCGTCATTAGGCTGATCGGGCCTGTTTGGCTACAAAGGCATCCCATTTCACCTGCCATCGATCTAACGCATTTTTCTTCTCTTGTCTGTTCATGCTGCTGTAAATCAACGAATTCATCGCCAGTTTCTTCAGACTTCTGAGATCCGCGTTGGCGCTCATGATACCCATGAAAGCCTCGTAAAAGTCGTAAGTCAATCCCTGGGCGCCCCAGAGTCCCGGATCGTCGTTGGAGACTACCACGGGCGATCCCGACGCGAACAAACTCGCGGCGGGATGATTCCGCATGTCTTCCACAAGGCCGAGTACCTGGTTCGAGATGGGACAAACCTCCACCGCGATGTTCCGCTGCTGCGCGAACTTCCATAGAAGCGGATGCTTCGTCAATGCGTATCTGAGAAAATTAAAATTTAATTTATGTAAATATTTTATATTAATTAGACTAAAAATATTTTAGTCATTACAAATGCCTAAACCGCGTTTGATTTTATAAAATGTCGGAATGAAAATTCAAGAAGAGATTTTGCTGAACAGACAAGTGAAAATTGTAAGTTAATCTTTTGATTCTTTTTTTTATTTTTTTAAAATCGTTTTAATTGGGATTTTTAAATGTTTTTTTTTTTTGCGCCACTAACCCGTGGCCGATGCGTCTGGTGTTGAGCAAAAACGCATCGAACAGATTCAAGTCGGTGATCCCTCCGTTCCAGTTGGTCTCCCCGGCGTGGAAAAAGAATCGAATATTCGGATCGACAAACTTCAATTTGTCGGCAAATTCGGTTAGAGGTTTTCCCTTGTCCTCCTGGCCAACCAAATCGAAACCGGCCACAAAATCCGGATAGAGTTGCCTTAGTTGTGCCAAAGTTTTGAGGTAGTAGTCCATTCTGCTTTGGTTGACCAAACGCGTCGGCGCGTATATGATCTTAGCGCCGATAAAATCGGGATGGTCCTTCACAAACCTGTCACATTCACCTATTAGATTATCTTGAGTGCAAGTACCTTTGAAGCAGCCGCTTCAAAATATCGCGTGAAAGAAGAAATTAAAAGAAAAAAAAATTTTTACTTATTTATCATTCCGCTTATCCGAAGCTATAAAGATAATTTTTAAAGAGGAAAGCATCTTGCCTATCAGTGACGTTCTTGAGCATCTGTACCATTTCCATCGGTCCATACGTGTTGCCATTGAGATCGTACATCGACGACAGCGTCGCCCGTATCTCGGCATACATGACATTGTCCTCGTAGAGCTCCTGGAGGTTGCGATAAAAGAGTTCCTCGTAATTGGGCCGATACGACACGAGATGCCTCATGAAGGCGAAGATGCTGTTGAATTTCTCCCATGCCTTATTGACAGTGTTGTAGACGTTCCTCGGGTCCTTCGTGATCATGGTCAACGCCCGCCTGATCCTCTCGTTGATCGCCTCGGCCTGGGCCGGGTCTTTCCGTATCTCGCTCAACAGCTGCCAGTCGCAGTCGTTGTCGGTCTGGTTGAAGAACTTGAGTCGCAGAGTGTTGTTCACGTCGCAGACGTACAGATGCTCGCGATAGGTCAGGTTGTGGAGCCTGTAATCGAGGGAGGCGATGGCGGACTCGTGAGCGTGGAGAACCGCCCCCTTCGGCATGTCGCGCAGGATCTTGAACACCTCGGACTTCTCGATCTGCGGTATCACTTCCATGAAGTTGTGCGACGGCAGAAAAGTATTGCCGGTGATGAAACCTGGCGGAAAGGCGAGAACCAAATAGGGAGAAAAATTATAGCTATGCTAATTAGTTAGTTAAGTTTGAGACATAAATCCCTCGTTAATATTCGCTTTCCTAAAAAGGTTAATATATTTATGGGATATATTATGATATCCGTGTTATGATACATTGTTGAATGCTTTGTTGATATTTAGCAATGTATCGTATGTACATGGATAATACCTGTAAATGTATTAATCTTTTTGAAGACAGTAATAGTGAAAGTCTCAAAAGTATTCAAGTAAATTTTACTTTCCTATTGCGTTTCTCAATCAATCATTCATACTATATTGGTTCTTTTATGATATATGCTCACGTGTTCTTTTTTTCCCGCTGGATATCTGATAAAGTGTTTGACATATTCATTATAGAAACGGATAATATAATGCGTTCTCACGTTATGAATAATTCATGGTTTCGTGCACAATCACTGGACTAACTTTGATCTTAACTCGAGAAGGTCGTTTAGGAAATAGTTAAATGCGCTTTTCAACAAAAGCAAGTTGAAAAGTCAGATTATCAGTGCTACCGCAAATAACACGCTGTGACATAATAGCACTCTCAAGGAAAAAAAAACAAAAAGAGTCTTAGATAATTAAGAATTCTATGCAAGAATAAATGCGATGTAGGTGTGTTACGAGAATTAATTACAATTAAATGAAAATCCTCCTCAATTTTTGTACTATAAAACTTCTTTCAGAGTGATGAATCTGTTTCACAAAGGAAAGAAGTCATAGTGATCTGTAAGCGGCAATCTTTCCCTCAAACTTTTAAATCAATCGCGACGAATTGATCGCGTTCTACGCGCGAACTAACGATTGTGAGTGAAAGGTTCGAACCGTCGTGGATTTCTCGACTTTTGGCCGCCATCAGGACCTGATTGGCCCTGGCCTCGATAGGATTGAGTTCCAGTTCGCCACCCAGGGACTGTCGCTTTTCATCCATCAGCAGTTGCCGTCGTAGCTGCCAGTACGTGTTCTCTCGAGGGGGCTTTCGCAAGTGTCGTCGCGTCAGGGTGATCTCGATGGGGTTCGCGAAGATCGCCTCGCCGCAGATCAGGATCGCCAAGGTGAGCAAGACTAGTCCGGCCATGGTCGTGGAAAATCGTTTACCAGCTAGGCGCGAACTAACGTCGTCGTCGAGTTACCGCGATTCGGGCGTAACGCCTCGTTGGAAAGTCGTGCGCGATCCTACGTGATCAATAGATCTGTGTGATCGTCGCGGCTGCTCGATCTCCACTGAGTGACTCTTACCACCGGGACCACGATTATAGACCCATGGAGGAGCAGCGTATGCACGAGCGTGACCAATAAACTCGTTGGCACTCGTTGACCACCTGCGAGCTCGTCGAGCGACCAACGACACGTGTGTCTATTGATCCTCCGTATAAATCAAGCCTCGGTGACAGAAATCCAAACGCGCGATCACAAATATCGGCGGGCGATTTGCGCATTGCGGTTTATCGTGTAAATTTGTTCAGGTCGTAATTAATTAATGAAATTTCGCGTGTTACACCACGGCACGTCTGACGCGACGATGTTGCGCACGATGGGGATGCGCGAGGCTCTATGCAGCGTAGACATCGTTAAAGAAGAGGAACCACCTGCTTCTCGCTTCTCGCAGATTCATCGATCAATTTGGAATTGTTTTTTTCTACAACAAGGCCGCAGTTTTCCATTTAAAACAGGAAGGAAAGAGCGCATCCCAGATTAATCGAATGCCTCTCTGGGAATCAAAGATCCTTGAAGATCACCTCGTTTCTGCAATATCACGGGTAATATCACATGCTTATCAAGAAGATTTCATTCTCTCTTGAGAATGAAAAAAGTAGTATTATAAAATAATCTGATATATTTTTACTTCTTTTTAAACTTCTCTGTGGCATAATTGATAAAGCTCTGGGAACGTAAATTTTATAAGAGATATAAGAATTATTCTGAGATAAATTCTATATAAATCTATCGCAATCAGCTAGATCATATCATAAAGAAAACTGATGTTTCCCATAACATTTCTCCACAATAAGAAATATCTTTTTTGCCTAACAAGTAACATACATAACACGATCATTAAGATTGTCAACACAAATATAAAATACATATCGATAAGATAAAAATGCTAATAAAAAAATTAAGCACACAGATTGAAGTGAATATTACTTCTTTTCGAAATGATATTTCTTTAAACCGTTTGAAGATTTATTTCATCATAAAGAGCAATAATGCTATTAATATCGTAACGAAATTAATATCGCACGAATTAATACGTGCTAATATTATATCACGATAGAAGGGAGACAATGATAAAAAAGAGATCCCGCTATGTCACACAACATTTATATTGAATTGTTATACAAAATAGTTGACATTCGTGTACGTAACTTAACGTAATTTATCTATGCCTAACATCTCGAACGGGAGACTTCCGACTTATATTACGTATAAAAGTCATTCAAGTTACGTTCGTAATTATTTTCCTGAACGTGTATACGTGTCTGAATGCGTATACGTGTCTGAATGCGTGTTTGAACGTAGATAAATTACAAACTTAAGGAATATCCTTGTGCGACACCTAAAAATACGATGATGTTAGATCAAACTCGGTCTGTCGACGCATTGTTTAAAAATATCGTCTCCTTATGTAATCAATAAGTACTACACTTATGTAACTAATAAATTATAATATTATAATTTTTACATAAAAAAACGCAACGCACTTGTTGTGTCTGCCACTGCAGATTGCTATTTGCGGCATACAAGTGCAAGTAGATTAAACTTCCTGGTGAGATGCAAATAGTAGTTAGAAAATTCGTTCGAGAGGATTAATTTTCCTGATCGTCAGTCTTTTGTCAAAATTGAAACCAAGAAGCAACAACATCACTTATTTCTAAATCTAAAAGTATTCAAGTTTTTATTTATGCAATTTGCGTGAGACTGTTTTTCTATATGCATTAAAAATTTTCGATAAAAAAGATATGGCATTTCGTGGCATATGATTTGATATCTGCAATCGTGCCTCAAACTGATAATTACTGGCTAGGAATCGCATGTGATCGTACACTTGATAATCGATATTGAGTAACAAGATAACAAATTTTCATTCTTGCAAACTCAATAAGAACATCTCATGCGCGCCTCGATTCAAATTTTGCAACAAACATGTCTCTCCTCTATCCGCTATCCTTTGAGTGTTGTATATAAATATACGTATATATATGTAACGCACACATAGTCATATGTAACAACCAGAACATATACATTGTGTTGTGACAAAATTGTTCGTCATCCGTTCCCATATGCGGTTCTTATCACAACATAAAGAGGAATTGGTCGAAGTGAAGAATTGTTTAGCGCTTCATAATGTGGATTAATGTAATTATCTTAAATTACATTTATCAGTCCAGCTAAAGATATGATGATTATATGCGGAATCATCGTTAGCTTAGAACATTGCTTAGTTTAGAACATTTCTTAATTCTGTATGTCTTGATTAGTATAGATATTTGTCATTTATTTCTCTTAATTCAACGTCACTTTTGATGTTGCGAAGGAAATATTTGCATTTCTGTAATCTTGTCAGAGGCCGAAAATTATTCAATGTACTGTAACATATTTAATAACATGTACCGAGTCATTTATAATGTATGTATAATGTTTAACAACATATATCAAATTTCGTTGATTTTGCATTTTGCGTAATGGACGTAAAATATCATCGATGTTTGCTCCAACATAAATTTAATAAATTGAAGATATTATAAAAATTCATGTAAAAACGAAAATTTCATTTATAATAGCAAAAAATATAAACATATATCATGTACTCAAAAGTAAAAAATAAATTAAAAAATATTGATAAAAAATATTTCAACAAAAAGTAACTATAACTCAATTTTATTTGTATATTTTAAGTCTTATTGTCTGTATTTTGTTATTTTTTTGTAAAGATGCAGATTATATATCTAAATGAGACAAGTATGTATAATATTAATCGATATTTTTTCGATTATTTTAATGTTTATTTTGTGAAGATTACTTTCAGATTAGAAAATATTCGAATATTTGATTAATCTTTTTGAAAATAAATGTTTGTATTATTTCATTTGGATTGAAATTTTTCAGCATAAATTATCACGAAAGTAAATCTTGATTTTGAATCTACGAAATTATTTGATTCAATTACACACGAATATCACCTTTTTATATATTGTATATTTTATGTAAAAATGTTGTCATTTTTATCTCACTATAAAAAGATTATATAGTAGAGGATTCCACATCAAATTGAATATCAATGAGCATAAATAAAATGAGCATTTCTAATTTGCAGAATTGTTTATACTTATACATAAGATAATATTAAAAAAATATATATATATATATATATATATATATTATATAACGTATATATTATATAAAGTTTCTGTTATATAAAGTTTCAATTATAATGCTTTCCAAAATATCGAAATTTTAAATTTTATCATCACAATATTATTTTATATCAAAATCATTCTTATACTTTCTAGCTTTTAAATCGATGAAAATAAAGAATCAGGAAATGTGAAATATTTTGAGGATCTAATAAGAATATATTTTGGAAACAAATTAAATTTAATATTGTACGCAATCCATTATGCTTTAGATAATAGTATGATAAGAATTACAAACTTTTTTATATTTGTTTTAGATAATATTGAGAAAATTATTTTGTTTCATTATTTTCATATTTTTTAATTTTATATCATTTTTATTATTCTTTGTTTTAATTCAATATCTTGCACATTGTTTTTTTTAATAATAAAGTTTTAGATTTCTTTATTACATAACTTATATTTCTTCTTGTTTAAAAATAATTTATTTCAAACATTTATATAGAATTATTACATAAGTACTGCATTTTCTTTGTCAAATTTCGACGTTTTGCAAGGTTTCCATTAAAAAAGAAAAATTTAGAAAAGAAATATGCAATAGATAAATAAAAAAAGTCCAAGTTTTGGAGAAAAAAATAATTTTTACATATTCTTTTGTATACATATATTTCAACAGAAATAGTATTATATATACTGAAAGGTATTATATATACATATATATAACATTATAATTTATCAAATAATTCTATGAAAAATAGAATAATTTAAATTTTAACATAGGTTTAAACTGAAAAGTGTATTTTTCGAATGAAAATTTATTTAATGCGATTTTCATATTTATAATAAAAAGAAAAGAAAAAAACATGCCATAATATAAATCAGTGAAAAACAAAAAATTCAAAGAAAGAATAAAAAGAGAGATAAATATTTATAGAGATAAAAATTCATTCAAAATTTGCATCTATTTATTTAACTGTGTTTTTATTAAGAAGTGAAAAACCGCGTAGTTTATATAGGTCGTTTCTTAATGTGAAATATACGCCATATGTTTTTTTTGTAAAAGGAGTTTCCAAAAAAATTATATTTTATATATAATTTGAAAAATAAATAAAAATATATTATTTTTTTATTTTGTAAGCTTTTGGAAAAGGATGTTTCAAGAAAACATGTTTAAATATAAAGATATAGAAATGTTATTAAAAAATCTCTTAAGTTTTAAAGAATAAATGCATTTTTAATTAGTTGGTCGTTGGATTCTTTATCTTAAATTGTTTAAAAATTTGACCGCTTAGATCATCATAATATCAATCAGCTATCATAATATCAAAATTTATATTAATGAAAAATTCGATATCACGGAAAGCGTCATCATTATGGCATAGAATCTTTATGTGACTATATTGTATATAAATATAAAGATTCAAAAAGGACCAAAATACCGAGTTAATTACTATCTGACATAATTTGACATAGAATCGCCTATAATCTTCTCATTAGTACCGTTTAAAAACCTATTATCATTAAATCGTTGCGATAGAAAATAGGTATCAATTAAATCATACAATCGACGTATGACAATTTACAAACATATCAATTAAAATATATTATCTGATGTTAGAAATTATGTATATTGCGCATCAACTTTATCAATATGGACGCATTGAGATGTGAATCAAGAAATATTTGGTATTTCTTATCACATTGATAAATGTACGATATGTACCATTTGATGTAACATTAACTTGCCATATATTCTACCATATGTTTTAAATTAAAATTTAATAAATATTAATTTAATAAATTTAATAAGTTTAATAAATATTAATAATAAATTGCTCATGAAGGAATAAATATTTTAAACGTATTATATAGAATATAAGTTTTAAATATCGTACATTTATCATTTTATCGTAATATATAAGAATACATTAAATTAAATAATTGAAAAACATTTTTTTCACGATTTTTTGGCGATACCACAAATAATTCTATGTGCAATAATATCTTGTAGTAATAATATCTTGTATTAATTATCTTTGCATTAAATATATATTATGTTATTATAATTATAACGTAAGATCAAATACGAATATAATTTTGACTATCGAAGATGTTCGATTCGATATGTAAACAAATTTGCATATTATACTATGCAAACTAATTATCTGTGTTAATCGGGCGGTAATAATATTAGATATAAATTTAATATATTTTGTAATCATTTCCTATAATTTTAACTAAAAAAGTATTATTTACAAAATGTATACATTCAACTTACAAAACGCTAAATTTGATTTAATAAATTTTCTTGAAAATCTAACATTATCATCAATATTCCGGATTAATAATGTACATTGTTTATTGCCTATATACAAGTGACAAATTTTCCATATCAATAAAGCTACTAACTTTATATTGGACAAGTTTGAGTCGCGCTTATAAATATGTTGTTAAGTCGATTTACATCTTATATTAATACATATATTGTACATAAATACAAGTTTTCTTTGTGAAAAGTACACAAGATATTCTGTATTGTTGAATTCACATTTAATGTGTATCATGATTAAACGCTTGTACAGTGAGCAGCTCTAGTAATCTGTTAAGGGCCATTGAAAATCCTATGATCAAACCATTGCCCTATAGAAGATCCCTGAGAAAGAAGCGTTAGTATTCAGTAAAATATTAAAAATCCATTTCGTTTTCTGTTTTCATTTTCAAAAATCAACTGTATAATTTTGATTGCGCCACATTGTGTGTAATAAAAATTCTATTAATTGTAATTATATATGTATATATAAAATGTCGTGCAGTTCGGCTGGCATTTTCGAAATCAATTTCGAATTCAATTTCGAAAGTGAGCAAATGTTTATTTTACAGTCGAGCCAATTCACTCATTTTCACTCATTTCTTCTGTGTTATTTGTGAAAAATTCTGTCTATTTCACTTTGAAATTATCATTTCACTTTTGAAATGATCAAAGAATGTATCAGATATTTTTATTAGTTTATAATCTACTGTTTCCATTCTCATTGCAGGCTTGTTGTAAATCATTCTGATTATCCAAACGTGGATCATGTGCATAGTGTTCGCAGATCTCACAATAAGATCAGAATGTGTGTGACACGTGATCGATTAACGTCCGATAATATGAATACGTTAAATGAACTAAATTGGGTTAAGAGGCTTTGAGAGCCTTGTCCGCGTGTGCCAGAGTCAGAGATCCTACGAGAGACACTAGCGTTCGATCTAGCCATGTTATAGGATTTGGATACAAAAGACCTCCTTCGTAAAAGCCTAAGTGACCTCCGTGAGCTAACTCCACATATAACGTGTTTAAGTGATTTGCTAAAATTTAAAAACACGAGAAATATTAAAATTCTTATTTAATACTGTTTATTTTACTGCGTATTTTTTATATTTACCCGCGTGAGCTTTTATTGGATTTAACAACACCTCCGGTACAATGGGATCATCTAATGCATTGATGAATACCATTGGTGTTGTAATATTGTCTAAATAAAAAACGCAACTACTCCACTTGTACAACTCTTGTACAGATCTAAAGTTGTGTACCTAAACAAGAAAACAGCTCAATCAGATTTAATATTTAAATTATGTACTCGCGTTTAAGAAAATCGCATGGAGCTTACCTTCCTTGTATATGCTTCATCCAATTCGGGTAATGTCGCCGCAGAAATTATATCATGCTCATTTAAATTACACCTCTTTTTTACATCTTCGGACAAAAGCATGTTTTTGTGCTTAAGTATAAGATTCTTCATCGATTCTGTCATTACATACAGATAAAAACGTCTAAAGTTCTGCCAGTTTAGTAAAATCTTCGTTCCCCTGAGAAATATATACAGCAAATAATTCGTCTCATTATCTCCGATTCATTTTAATTGTATTATTCAAAGAAGTATCTATACTTACTTGAGAGCATTGTATCCTTGACAAACCGATATCCCTCCTATAATGTTAGGCAATTTATTGGAACCACGTTCTCCTAGGTATTTTGTTACTAGATTGCCGCCTAAACTATATCCGATACAAACTATTCTGGTATTAGGATGTTTTTCTATCAGATTTTGTAACATCGTGTTATAATCATCCGTGTGACCTGTTCATAAAATGCAGTTCATTATATGCAGTTGACTAAACTAAAAATGAATAAAAATAAAAATAAATAAAAAAATTTTAGTTCGAGATATATATATATATATATATATATATATATATATACAAAATATTATATTATTATACTTTAATGCGACAAATATATCTCTAAATAAAAAGATGACAAAGGCTGATGTATATATTTTCAAATATAATTTCTTTGCCTAATTATTGTTGAAACATTTTCTCGCCGATAACCATTAATCATTTATAAATATGGCTGTAAGACGTATAACCCAGAAAGTGTAGTTATAAAGTTACTCGACATCGGAATGGTTTTTTCCCACAGCGATATAATTCTCTTAAATGTTCTTAGTGTGCACATACTCGCGTAGTATAAGAACTCGGTTATTATCCGCTAACTTTCCTCGATCGATCGCCTCGCCCTAGCAGAATAAGTTTTATCGATCGTCGTACATACCGTAAGAGAATATCCTTGGTGCCGTGATCTTGACACTAGAAAGGGCTCCGACGTGATTAAGTACTGCGCACCGATAACCATGACATTGCACGAAGTGCACGAACGTCCTGATATATACACTCTCCGAGCTGTTACCAATACCAGGACAGATAGCTATCGTTATATCATCTGGAACCAAAGTTATTTTAAGTTAGTATCAAATATCTCTAATTAAAAGAATTCATTATTAAGCGTACTTCCAGAACTTAAAAAAAAAAATGTAAATAGATTATTAATTATTAAATAATAATTTACAGTTATTATTTTATATAAATAATACCTTCGTGTCCATTAGTCAACGGTTGATAGAGATCGTACGTAAGGGTGGTCCCGTCGGGAAGACCGATGTATACGCGTTCTCCAATGGGCCAAGGGCACCGAACACGCCCTACAATGCTGTGGACAATAGTTTGTACGTGGCCGCTGAAACCCCACAATCTTGTTGGCTTGTATCTAAAATAGATCAAGGACTATGACTACTATCAGTCCAACCAATTCCGACCAATTTCGTGTTTCCATATCTTCTTTCGATGTCGAAACATAAAATTTTCCGCTATTATCAAAATAGAATATTTTAGTTTTATCATTTCGCTTGCGTTATTTTTGCTAATCGTCACTGAAATTTTTGTAGAAAATTTCAAGGAATAGAATCCAAGTATATTCCAATATTGCAAAAAATTCATAAAAAGTAAACGGTTGTGAACGAGGATACGCGAGAGTTTGAGGAAAGCAATTAGAATATTGAAGATTCCGTTAGTAAATTATATTTTGGAAAGATTGCTTCCAATGTGTCCTACTTAAGAAAATAACGATGAGAAGTTAAAATTCTGTCCTTATTTGTCCACTTTCTTATATCATTAACTCGAAATAAATTCTGGATAGTTGAAGTAGAAATTTTACGCAAGTCAACTCTTTATTACTCTGTAATTACGACGTTGTAACGGTATTCACATATGTACAAAACGTTGTCAAATATGTACAACGTACAATTGGAAATCTGTATCATTAACTACTGTAGTAAAATCAAGATGCAAGTCAGGTTATTTAAAATAGTCAAATATTTAATATCTAATATTTAAATATCTTTATTTGAAACTCACACATCAAAATGAGACAGAATGAGACAAAAAATGAGGTTAAAATGGAAAAAGAAAAATTGGTAATATTATTAAATAAATCGATTTTGTAATTATATCAATTCTAAAAAAAATTATTATTATCAGACTATAACATTTTCATTATAAGTTATTTTAAAGAAAACACGTTTTTTCATTGAAATAAATAATTAATCATCATATCGATCATCACGATATCGATTTATTTACAAGATATCTGGAAGATATCTGGAAGATATCGATTTTATAAGAATTCAAGATATTATTTTTTAAGTAACTTTGTTTTGCTTGACACTTTTCCATTTTATTCCATTAATCGTAAATTTTTTTTGCAGAATAAAAATAAAAATTAAGATTGCACGATATTATGCACTTTTTACTCGATGTTCAGGCAAAGCAAATTGGTGAAAATGCATTGTATCGTTAAATTAATTTATAGAGAATAGTAAAAAGTTGCAGTGTGGATCAGTGGAATATGGGATAGAGGGGTAAGTGAAACGAACTTACGAAAAAACGGTTTATTGTTACGTTTCACGAAAAATATTTGTGCCAGTATCCTTGAGATTCCAATGTTAGTTTTATACGGAAGTATAAATCGATACCAAAAAGTTTGCAATTATCGACGTGAAAACGTGTTCTGTTGCAAAAAACAAAGTTGCTAGACGGTGAAATACATAATTATGTTTACTCAAAACAAACGCGGTCAACAATCAAATTCACGATAACTTCCGTCTCATTGAAGATATCCGTATAACATTTTTGAAATCAAAGCCTTTCAAATTTTTCTTCTTCGCTGCACCTTTCACTGACGTTCATAAATCGCAATATTATCTAATTATTAGTGTAACACACGCGATTACACTACACGCGATTAGTCAAAGAACGAATGATAGTTGGCGACTATTTATTTCGTATAGCGTGAATTTGCATTGACGATACATAACTATTACATTTTAATGACAGAAATATAAAGTTGCGCGACAATGGATCGATAACGTACGGGAACACAATATCGATTGTCCAGTTATAAAGTCGACTCGTGAAAAACTCGCTTCTTACTTGCAGAAAATTATTCGTAGAAAAGAAAAACAATTTTTAAATATGCAATTTTAAGTTCGTTGGAAGATTAAAAAAAAATTCGAAAAATTTATGGAAATCAATTTCATCTTTGCATATAAAGCTATTATTCTTAAACAGCAAAATTTAGTATTGATCATAATATATTTGAGGTCTTGGACCTAGCATTACTCTCCAAGTTTCTCAACAACTTAACGTATTACCCCGAGTAATTTTCTAGTTTTTAAACGTAGACAAGTTGTATTTTTTAATACTACGATTTTATGACTGCTACCAACAGCTGAATTTCATTCGCTTAATAATCCGCGGAGTTTTGTAGTTTATTTTTGTTCTATCTTGCTTTCTATTTAATCGGTCTTTCTTCGCGATTGAAGTTGCAAAACGAGAAGAGATAGAGAGAGAGAGAGAGAGAGAGAAACAAAAGATCTATTCGAGACTCTCGCGCGAGTCCTGCGCGTCAAAACAAAATTCTTTTCCCTCGCGATGAGTCGGCGTGACGTTGTACACGTGCAGCAGCAATCAATACGTGTGACAATTCGTCATTGCAAATGCAAGGAGAAACGTGTTAATACCGTGTTCACGCCGCGACCGCGAAGTCATCGCGCGAATTAGGCGCGATAGGGAAAAGTAGGGTAAACTGTACTATGTCGGGCCTCTAACTGCCAAAGAAAACTCCATTCTTTTCACAACGATAGTTTCTTGTTGCGATATTACTTCGATCTTCTATGCGCGACGATAAAACATGCGAGAAATCTGTTTTTATTATTCATACCTATTTTTAAATATTTCACGATCCAATATATTGCTTTTTATACGTAGTAAAAAAATAAATATACATTACAACAACAACAACAACAACAACAACAACAACAACAACAACAACAACAACAATAATGTACAATTTATTATACATTATTATTATTATAAGAAAGTGTACAATAAATTACGTTTCGACTTATAAATTATCCTTTAGAATTTTTTCTATTGTGATATATTCCTGTAATACTTGGAGAAAAATATGCTGCAATTTATCTTTTTAGAGTTTTTTCTTCGTCGGAGTGTGGTAAAGATTGCATCGCGCCAAGTTATGTAAGAACCAGTAAGGAACTTACGATACGCGAATACGTGGCGCATAGTAGTGAAATGTAAATGTTGAATTTCGATGAGACTCATGTTTTTATTTACAAAACGAATGATATCTTCTATCATTTAACAGAATTGAGCTTGTTTCTATTGAAAGAGTAAGTACTTTTTTATCGATACACTTTTATCGATTCGTCTGTAATTTGATAAAATACTGAACTCCATAATATTCCATAGATCGCAAATTGATTTGCGTGTTTCGAGTTCACGGTCGTTCCTGACGTGGTCGATTAAATAGTCTACAAACTATCTGTATTTATTAGATATGTGTATATACATATATTTTACGTCGTTTCTTCAGATGATTTACGAAAAGTATTGAACTGTCACATTCCGCGACATCGACACAATCCAGAGAAATTATTTACTTATCAAGCACGCTTCCTCTTGTCAGTCACAATGATGATAATATAATAAAAATATAATATTTAAATTAGTGTTTTTTTCTTGAAAATAGAAATATAAGTAAAAAATTATCTTATCATGATATATCATAATATGCAAATCTCAACAGAACAAAGTCAATAAGACATTACGTACGTACGACATGACTATCAATTTATTTATTTTTTAAAAATATTACTTGTCATTCTTTCTTAATTTTGAACATTAATTTTAGATCATTATGTTAAATGAGTACACATAAAACGCACGTATATGTGGGACGACTATTAATTTACCATTTTCACACTTTCAAGAGTATTGCGTTAGCAGTGTCAATCCACTGTTTAAATGAAATGGCAAACATTCATTTCACGAGTAACTCTGTCAACAACGAAAAAACTCGTTTATTATATGCGATGCATTTATATGCAATGTTATATGCAATAGTTAAAAGTAAATAGACCATCTATATGATCAAAGAGCTTTTACCGTAAAAATATAGCAAATTATTCGCAGTAATTTACCGCAGTTCTCTCGTCCCTTCATCCTTCGTCATTTTAATATCGTACATTAAACGTTCGAGAGAAAATACGTGAGGTTGCATTACTTCCAGTTATTTAATAGGTAAATAATCCATTAAACTTGTCGCGCACTGCGAGTCGTGAATTAGGCGAGAAGCAGGTCGCCGAATGAGATATGGGAACGAGAATACGAGCGAGAGAAAGGGTTTTTTTTCGTAGCGGAAAATGCGGAAGTGCAAGAACGAGCGACCGTTCGAAAGAAATCAAGCGAGTAATAATGAGCATGGGAATAACGTTTCGCAATGATTGCGATACAGAAGGGGAAAAGCGGTGGAAAAGGACGAAAAAAAATGCTCGGTTCTCCTGCCTTTCGCTCGCAAAACGAAGACGATTCGAGCGAATAATGTACGTTGCTTGCGTGCTATGCACGGTGCGTGTGCGTGTGCGTGTGCGTGTGCGCGTGTGTGTGTGTGTGTGTGTATGTATGTGTGTGTCATAAACGGTGTAATTTCCGTAGACACATAGTAACGATCAAATACGAGGACGTTCACACGCGTGTTGAGATCTCTAATTTTTTATAGATTTCCCGGTTGTTTCCTTTGAACGGACGAGAGTTCGCAAAAGAGGTAAAAGCGGAGTATCCGAACTGTTGGGAAACCTCTTTGGGATTTCTCAATAAATTCCGGAGCTCTTCAGACGCGCGGGTTCGAGTGGGAATCACTTGTCGCGTTTGCCGGGAATCGAGACCGGTGGAGTTTCACGGTGGAGATTTTCAACGGACACGCGCGCTTAGACACGCGATTACCACTCGTGGTAATTGAAACGTAAACGCAGACATCTCTCTAGCACCGATGAGTTCCGGTTCTGATCGAGACGCGAGTCACGCGTTTTCCATCCATCGTCGGATTTCCGAATCGTCGATGCGAATCGTCGTCGGTACTTTCCTGCACGAGACAAAGCTCGAGGAAATCGTTTCCGCTTTCTTAAGCGCTTTCACACGACACAATTGAAAGAAGAATAAAATCGCAATTAGCAATGAGCAATGACGAACGGAATGTTTTTCCGACCGAGATTCCCCCCTCCCCGCCCCCGCCATGACATCCCGGTGTCACGCAGGGAAATTATTAACCGATCACTTCGCTTTCACGTGGTCGTCGATTTGCAGAAACGCCTAATGACGAACTGAAAGATAAACATCCGCGCGATGACGAATGTCAAGTCGCACGGAAGAAAATCTGTTACAATACGCTTCGGCTTCGGCGATGTAATATTTGACAGCGTCTCACAACCACGCGCCTCTCGCATTAATTTGCATCCCATTAATGAGATTACGGGTTTGCCGCACTTTTACCGAACATCGTGACTCTTCCAAGAAGATGAAACTCCATGGAGATACTCCATGGAAGGTCTTGGGATCCGTACCGATTTCGAACATGACACAGATTCACATGCGCTGAAACTCAAACAAGTTCAATTTTTCGTGCGACATTCGTGCGACTTTTGTCGATAACGTTCCGCGAAATCTGAGATAAGAGAAAGAGTAACGAGCGCGGGGTGTTATGTAAAACGGGATATGATTCTATTAGTTGCTCCGCTTGCATCATCTCTCGAAGTCAT